CGTCTCTCCCCACATAAATTCTTAACTGACCTCCCTGCCCCCCCAGTCCCTAGTTTAAACATTCCTCAACTATTCTGCACATACGCCTCCCCAATAAACTGGTTCCCCTATGGTTCAGATGCAACCCGTCCGGCTTGAACAGGTCCCACCTGTTTTTAGAAAACGAATAAAAATAGGTACACCATGCTATATGCCTAATATAAAACAACAAATTACAGTTGTTGTTTTTTATTTATTTATTTATTTTTTTTATTAATTTTCTTAACTTCTATGTTCTGTGTTGTATTTTGTTGTTGCTTGAATTTCATGATGTCAAATTTCCGCTAATGTAAAAGTGAAAGTAAAATGCACGGTTCTTTGTTACATGTAGAGGAAAATTCCTCACCACGGCAACCCTAATCCCAAGTAATAACAAAAATCCATAAATTATCTCTGTTAGAAGAGATGTATCCTTAATTAAACAGAGCTGGTCACACTTATATGTTCTGTCAAACTAAAAGAAAAATAAATAAAAAAAACATGCTCAAAAGAAATTCAGTTATTATTTGAAATTTAATGTATAGACATTTTTAAGAATACAATTATTTACCTATTGAGTGTTGACAGTCTGCCTAATTAGATGGCTGGGCTCCAGAAAACCAGTAATGATGCAGCCTTTATAGATTTGGGAAAGGAAGGCAGGAAAAAGAATCCTGAACTCTACCACAAAGAACCATTATATCATATGAAGAGTTCTTCAGAACTATACAGATTTAAATAGAACTGTTACTATGCAAACTTTTTTTCTTTTTTATTTAGTGCATAGACATTTTGAGGCAATAATTTCTCATTGTAACATTAAATTAGGTCCTACAAATTCTAATAAATTGATATTTTAACCTGTGCTAGAGCACACATCAAGCAATCCATTCTGTGATTATCTTTGAATTGCTGCACAACTGGATATCTTGGCTCTACAATTGTAGGACTAACATAGACCTCAGTTCAAGGGTAGTTTAACAGCAATCTGCTTTTTTGGACTGTTCTTGACTCATTGTAGAGAAGTTCATATTTTTCATTATTAAATGAGTTGAAGCTATATATTAGAGCTGTGCCTAGTGTTATGTTGAATCTCATTTTGTCTGTGCATTCTGCAGGCTGCCGATGAAGCCTTCGTCCAAAAATCCATCCAAGAAACCACAGTCGGAATCTACATCCTCAAATCTCAGGACAGATTTGAGGACATCGGCATTGTCCTTGAAGGCCAGAAAGTTTTGCAAGGGTTGGATAATTTTGCATTAGCTGTGGCAATGCTCTTTGGACTAATGTATGCCTTAAATCTCAATTACCCACCTGAGATGAAATACACCTTTGAGGTTCTTCAAAAAATAGTAATGGAGCTAGAAGGCTGCAGTTTGTCAATGAAAGCTCAAGTTCTCAGAAACAGACTCTGTGAGTGAGGTGTTTCTGGTACGGTAGGGAGACGCACAAGCTGGTTCTGCCTCTTGGATTAAGGACCATTGTTTTTCATTTTACACACTCTCAAAGAGAACCTACAAACAGTTCAAAGGTTTACGCTGTATGTGTGTGTTTGTATGTATCTTACTGTTTAAAAAAAAAAAAAACACTGTAAAAGTATTGTTTGGTTAAAAATAATAGTGATTTGTCTTGGAGTTTCTCAGACTGAAAAAACAAAACAAAAGGAGGCTTTGGTCTAATTCGTCTGTTCATCGTTTTTACTCAACCTGTTTGGTTACTCAAATTGTTGGATTTTACTGTATCTGGTAGGGCTGCACGATAATCATCGCGCGATATGTATTGCGCATCTTGTCATGTGAAATCACACACCTGATGGAATTTACCACTGATTACAGAACCGGCTTTACTGACAAGATGCGCAGTACATATCGTGTGATGATTATCGTGCAGCCCTAGTATCTGGTCTGTTGACAAGAAATGTCATAGTTCACAGTCAGCCGTTCATCCCATACTTTTAAAAATGAATTGAATTGTTAAAATTTATAGTGATTTCCATTGTCTTACTGCTTTTTAAAATGAAATCCAAAATTGTAAAGGTACGTTTTGACTACTTCATGATTTTCATTACTGGTCACATTTTCCACTGCACCTGTTTGACGGCATCTCGTTTTGCACTTGACAGTGGATGTTATTCATGAAATTTATGCTGTTTTTATTTTCACACAGAGAAGGCTGTGTTTCTGTAACCAGAACTGAGAAATTGTGCTGTGAAAAATACACTGATTTACAGCAAGTAGCATTTTTCCTTGTCTTATTTCTTTTTAAACGTTATTCATGTCGTAGACATTACAGTAGATGTACACCATATATTTGTGGAAAGTCAGCCTATAGTATTACAAAAATTTAGAACCAAATGAGTTTTATTGAAACCATTGCATATGAATAAAAAACAAAATCATGGTTGTATAACAAATTATGTAGCTTTAACATGTATGGATTATGTTCATTTAACAAACAAATTATGTATCTTGAGCATACATAAATCATGTTCCTTGAACATATATAAATCATGTTCATTTTGCATATAAAATCATGTTCCTCGAACATATATTAATCATGTTCATTTTGCATATATAAATCATATTCCTCGAACATATATTAATCATGTTCATTTTGCATATATAGATCATGTTGAGTAAACATAACTTTAATATGTGCAACCGATGTACATATATTTTTTATGTTAATCCAACAATTTTTTTTTTTCAGTGTGGGTTTAAACTTCATACGAGCCCATGTTATGTTTTCATGAAGCTTTCTCAGTAATCGTTTGGTGCATGGAATGGTGGAGGTCAGGGTGGTCAGGTCATCCATGTAGGCACGAATAGGTGGTAGTTGCTGTCCATCCTGCAGGCGTTCTCCTCCTACCACCCACGTGGAAGCCTAGATGATCACCTCCATTGCCATGGTAAAGGCTAACGGGGAGATTGTACACCCTGCCATTATCCCCACTTCCAGTAATTGCCATGATATTGTTTACGCTGTTGTTGTTATGCAAAATTGCAAATCCTGGAAGTAATTTCTGACCAGGTCCGCGATGTTCTTTGGCACATGAAAGAAATCAAAGGTTGCCCAGATGAGTGAGTGGGGGACAGATCCAAAAGCGTTAGCTAAATCCAGGAATAAGACATGCAGGTCTCTTCCTTCCCGTTTTGCAGATTGGATTTGGTGCCATATTATGCTTGTATGTTCTAAGCACCCTGAGAAGCCTGGTATCCCAGCCTTCTGCACCGTTGTGTCAATCAGGCCATTCTGTTTTAGGTAAGTTGTCATCCTTTGCGCAACAATGCTAAAGAAGAGCTTCCCTTCAACATTCAGGAGATTCATCTGCCGGAATTAGTTGATGTTTGAGGCATCCTTTTCCTTGGGTACCATCACTCCCCCTGCTCTTTCCCATGCTTTTGGGATGGTTCGCTTTGTCCATACCACTTTCATTTGCTTCCAGAGAAACACCAAGACGTCGGGGGCATTTTTGTATAGCCGATATGGAACTCCATGGAACTGATGCAGCCCTTGCCTTCTTATTTGCCTTCACAACCTCACTCCATTGTGGGGGACTATCATCCAGTAGGTGCTTTGGCTGAGGTATTGGTGGCATGTCTGATGGTATCTTCCTCTGTTCAAGCCTCTGGGAGTCTGTGTATATTGTTTTCAGGTGGTCTTCCAGCTTCTGTTTTTCCTCCTTAAGAGACCCACTCTTTTCCTTTGAAAACAGACTTTTGACAAATTTGAAGGGATCTTTGTAGAAGGAAGTTTGAAATAGGAGCTATCTTTTTAAAGATTGACAAAAACTAAATACAGTAAGTATAGGACATGGATCGGTCACGCATGGCCAATACCCGATCCGTCAAATAGGTCTGAATTGGCGCTGATACCAATCCGAATATTGGATCGGTGCATCTCTAAGTCAGATAGCTGCACTCATGCCTAGGTGTCCATTTACTTTACAGAATCTAAAGTTTGCCCAAACTAAACTTAATCTGTGTGCTTTGGCGGGCCTCTACAACATCCATCTAAAGTTTTTTTGTCAGTGCCAGCCAATGAGTTTGGAGGTATGTGCTAAAATTTGAACAGACTAGACGTTCCTACAGTTTAATCCTTAGTACTCACTTTGCTACTGCCAATCAGAAGGTACATCAGATGTACCATGAAGATAAGTGCCCCAGTATCTGTGGCTGCCATACATGGCCAGGTCATAAGACCCCCACTGCCATCTTTCACAGGTGAGCTGGCATGCTTTGAATCTTGGGAAATGTATTTCTGCCTCAATACTTTGCTCTTGCCATCACTCTGGTACAAGTTAATCTTAGCCATCCTGTTTTTGAGGCTAACTAGTGGTTTGCAGCTTGCAGCGTAGCCTCTGTATTTCTGTGCATGAAACCTACAGACAGTAGTCACTGACAAATCCACAAATGCCAATAACGAACTCCAAAGGTTCAAAAGCCGAGAATAAAAACTAGAAAGCTCTCATATACAGTACTTACATTAACAATGCAATTAAACAGGGCTGAGTATTCAAAAACACCCATGAATCCATGTGTCCCAAACATTAAACAGTAAAGCTAATGTATAAAAAATACCTTATAATAAAATCTGAGAATGTGCACTTTAACTACACTGTAAAAAATGATTCAGTGGCCATGTACATTTTAAATAAATTATTAAGTAAAATACACTCACCTAAAGGATTATTAGGAACACCATACTAATACGGTGTTTGACCCCCTTTCGCCTTCAGAACTGCCTTAATTCTACGTGGCNACTTGTAAATTAACTCGCTAACCTCCTAAGGCTAGTGGCATTCTAAATTAAACTAATTTCAACAGACATGCTCAGGCAGTGGCATCTTGTGGTTTGTCATATATGGAAACCTTCATTAGCGATAAATCAGGCTAACTAGTTTTGTTCCTAAGGACAAAGAAGTTAATTTCTATCATCTAAACGTGTGAGTTTTATAGCCACTGAGCTTGTGTAAAAGGGAGAACCGACTGGTGAACTTGACGTTGCGTATCATCTGCGTTGCAGTTGCTGGTCCCGTTTGTATTTTTTGAGTGTATATCTAAATAAGTTTCTTTGACTTTATGTTCGGCACCCTACTGTAAGACAACGCTGGGATTTCACGCATTATGATAATTTAAGAGAGCGTTACGGCGCCTCATTGTGCCTGCATTTACACTTTATGGTTAACTGTGTGGTAGATTGCTTCCTTCAAATTATACTGTACGAAGAAATGCCTCAGTCCCAGTTGCCTGAACAAAATACAGCTTTTCACAGTTCTGAGCACTCACTTTACATTTAGTTTATATGAAACTTTCTTTAACATTGAAAAGAAATACAGAACTTTATGCATCTGTGCGACGGATGTCTCCGACATTCCCTGGTAAAATGGCCGCTACGCATAAATCGTCACGTAATACATATATAAACTAATACAACCCATTAATCCTGGTTTAGACTTAATCTAGGGTTAGTAAATCTAGGTTTAAACTGGTTATTAATTAATTGGTGATGCACTGCACATCTTAAATGTAACCCTGGATTAGTTAAACCAGTTTAAACTATGATTAAAATCGGATTAATTTGGCTTCAGTGTCCGCCATGATGGATCCTGAGGAAATGTGAACAAATTCATGATACACCCTAGGCTAAATAAATATGGTCCTAAATAAATTTGACACAAATGTCTTGTGAACTTTTTTTTAAATAAAATCTGTTATTTTTTACTGTTACTGTTACCGCTGGTGTTAACCCTGCGCTCCGTCTGATATAACCAATCAGCCTATTTATATTGCCAAGATATACAATAGCCTATGGCATAGCAAAGGAGTTCAAATTTTTCATCATCAGAAGATTTTTCTACCTGAGCTAATGGAAGAATTTGGGGCAGTAATTGAGGATAAGCGAACTGATAGCAGTATAGTGGACAAAAAGGACGAGACCTGGGCGGTGTTAATGGAGCCATTTAATGGCTCAGCTGGCAGTAAGGAGACGAGGGACAAGACTCAACTTAAAGCCAGCTGGAAAAACCCAAAGGCCAAAGCTAAAAAAGATGCGACAGAAGATAGGCGGGGAAAGTTTCAGACTGGCGGAGGACCGCCACAAGTGACTACAGAGCTGCTGTCAAAAAAAATCATCAATAAGATTTCTCCCCTCGCAAACCTCTACAACGATGACGGCGTACTGGACAAAACCACAGACTACAGTAAGTTATTACTACTAATGTTTACCAACTCCTAATCGATCACTGCTACATTTTTTTGTGTTATTATTACTTACTGCACTGACTCACAAGTAAGTATGATTGCTATGATGGCTATGATTAGAATAATTTTAACAGGTTATCATAATTTTCGGCACCCCGTATTGCTGCATTAATTGCAGAAATCGTGTGATAAAATGTAATCAATGTAATCGATTTGTAGTACACCACGCAGGTGTTAAATTATGTTTTCTGTAGTAGCCTGGAATGTGCTATTAAATATGTTGTTTCCTATATTACTGAACTTCAAAAGAATCAGAATAAAGGTGTGGTGAATGTGCATTCAGCTGTAGGTAGCCATTATATTTGAGTGTATTCAATGTTTTTCTTTTCTTTTCTATATTGCTGAGACTGTCCTGGAGCCAGTGAAGCCAGATGATAAGTGCATGGAAGCAGCAGCACAACCTGTAGGACCTCTGGCTGAAAAGCGTGCTAAGCTTTCCCCTTACCAGGAATTCACTGACCTTGAGAAGGAAAGATGTATTCTGGACATTGAAAATGCAAAATTACAAAAAGAAGTCCTGATTCTTTAGAGGCAAAGGCTACTAGATTTGAGTCAGCCATAACCACAGGAATCACTGGAAGCTTTCTTTAATTAAATTATGTAATTGTTCAATGTATTCCTGTTTGTTTTTAATGTTTAATTTTAATAAATAATTACAATAATAATAATAACAATAAAGAATTTAATAAA